CCATTACGTAGCTTTGCGTTAAAATAACAACAACTCTTTATATAATATTTTGTTTTTGTACATTATTCAGCTAGAATGATAGATATTACTGCTTATACTAAGTAAATCATACAAGTAAAACAATATTATTATTGTTTCTATTTAGTAAATCACACAAGTAAGATAACAATTACTATTGTTTATATTTAGAAAATCACCCAAGTAGGATAACAATTACTATTGTTTATATTTAGAAAAATCACTCAAGTAAGATAACAATTATTATTGTTTATATTTAGTAAATCACACAAGTAAAACAATATTATTATTGTTTCTACTTAGTAAATCACACAAGTGAAATAACAATTACTATTGTTTATACTTCGAAAATTACTCAAGTAAGATAACAATTATTATTGTTTATATTTAGAAAAGCACACAAGTGAGATAACAATTATTATTGATTATATTTAGTAAATCACACAAGTAAGATAATAATTATTATTGTTTATATTTAGAAAATCACCCAAATAAAATAACAATTACTATTGTTTATATTTAGAAAATCACACAAGTGAGATAACAATTATTATTGATTATATTTAGAAAATCACACAAGTGAGATAACAATTATTATTGATTATATTTAGTAATTCACACAAGTAAGATAACAATTACTATTGTTTATATTTAGAAAATCACACAAGTAAGATAACAATTATTATTGATTATATTTAGAAAATCACACAAGTAAGATAACAATTATTATTGATTATATTTAGTAAATCACACAAGTAAGATAATAATTATTATTGTTTATATTTAGAAAATCACACAAGTGAGATAACAATTATTATTGATTATATTTAGTAATCACACAAGTGAGATAACAATTACTATTGTTTATATTTAGAAAATCACAAGTAAGATAACAATTACTATTGTTTATATTTAGAAAATCACTCAAGTAAGATAACAATTATTATTGTTTATATTTAGAAAATCACACAAGTAAGAGAACAATTATTGTTGTTTATATTTAGAAAATCACCAAAGTAAGATAACAATTATCATTGTTTCTACTAAGAAAATCACACAAGTAAGATAACAATTATCATTGTTTCTACTAAGAAAATCACACAAGTAAGATAACAATTATTATTGTTTATATTTAGAAAATCACCAAAGTAAGATAACAATTATCATTGTTTCTACTAAGAAAATCACACAAGTAAGATAACAATTATTATTGTTAGTGCTTAATATATTTCACACATGATGCCTGACAACATAAAATAAGTATTTTGTTTAAAATACATGAATAAGAAAGAAAATATGTTTTCTTATATCAGGGGCAGTACATCACCATTCACATAGTTTCCTTGCCTTACTTTCTTTTTAACTATGTCTAATTGTTTAGATTCCCTTTGTTATTATATTCAACACCCTAGTTTAAACCACTTATTGAAAAAACGATGACATTGTTCTGTCTTACACTTTTATTTTTACAATGAACTCTTGGGTGTTTTTTCTCATTGTAAATGAGTATTTTTGTAGTTGAGTTGTTTATTGAATATTGTTTAGTATTTCAAGAAAATTGTTTTGTCTTTATTGGAGAATTTATTCCATCTGTGTCGCATGCACGCTAACTTTGATTACATGACGTTTAAGCACAGCACAAATTCCTTTGGCCTCTTTCTCTCTCTGTGAACGATAAAATTCTAAACCCATTGTTAGTGGCATTCTCCAATCAAACATTGATTTGTGTTTCTATTTTGATCTTCGTCCAACTAGATCACGTGCTCAGATGAAAGTTTTCTAAGCTGATGGTGTATATATATATAGTGATAAGTAAGTGAAGTGTATCTAGAAAAGAAGTTTTTATTTCGCTTCTGGCTACACTTACAAGTTACCTTAGCCATAACGTCATCTTCGTGTTGCCATCATCGATAAAGCACGGACATTAACAAAGTTTAAAAGAGAAAGTACTTTCACAAAGTGCAACCCATAAATGCAAGGTTATCCTAGGTAAATGTTTATTATACTATAACTACCTGACTTCCGTTTCAACACCACATCTTGGTTGATAGAAGTGAATGTAACCAAATTAATGTAAACATATATCTTTATCCTGCAATAAATGTTATCTAGCTCAAATATCGAGCCAAACTACCAGTCAACTTGACTATCTGTAACTCAAACTACCACGCCAGCTAGTTATCTAGCCCAAATACTTAGTCAAGCAACAACTGGTTATCTATATCTCAAACATTCAGTTAAACTACCACTCCAGCTGGTTATATATAGCTGAAACATCCAGTAAAACTACATCTGGTTATTTGTACCTCAAACAACCAGTCAAACTACCAGTTCAGGTGCTCCGTTTAGCTCAAACGTACAGTTAAATTACCACTCCAACTGGTCATATATAGCTCAAACATTCAGTTATACTATATCTTGTTATTTATAGCTCAACTATCCAATCGAACTACCAGTTCAGCTGGTTGATAGTATTTAGCTTACATACCAATTCAAACTACATCTGGTTATTTATAATTCAAACACCCAATCAAACTATGAGTCTAGTTATTTATTTATCTCGGATATCCATTCAAACTTCATCTGGTTATCTATAGCTCAAACATCCAATCAAAGTGCTAATCGTCTTGGCTATCTAGTCCAAATGTTCAGGTAAACTATCACTTCAATTGGATATATACAGCTCAGGCATCTAGTCCAGCTTAATATTAAACCGAAGAATCTAAAGTCTGACTTATACTAAACTCCAAAATTCAGTAGATCTATCAGTCTAGTCGATTATCACATTCCAAATTCCAATGAGGCTCTAAGTCGATATGGATATATATCCCAAATATCTAGTTTGATATCATGCTTTAAGATCCAACCAGAATATTTCAAGTACGATACTGTCCAATGAGAAAAGAAGTCGTATACCATACAGCTAATTATAAAACTGAGTTTATTCATAATTTATCCAAAATAACACGTTTTCTAGATTAAAATATTTAGTTTTAATTTATCTGTATTGTGTGAATCATCGACACTTTTATAATTTTAAAATAAAATAAAAACTTAAACGTCAACGTTCTCTATAACCACTCTTCATGTTTAGACGCGTGTATGTTATCTCCAGGAGATATGTATGGCATTTTTTTATATTATTCACTTCCCACATTGTTAAATATTCTTTGATTCGCTTTTATTCGGGAATCATTAGTGAGTAGCTGAATTCCCCGAAACTAGCACAAGTTAGTTACATGTGGTAAAGCTAAAAACAAGATACGCCTGTCAGTTATTTTTCGTCCAAATATATGATTTTAGTTATAGAAGAAAGAACTATAATGTACTTATATATATTGTCGTTTGATAAAACATGAGAGTCTGTGGTTATGACGACAAAATATTACCCTTTGTTTGTCCCAGTGAGCATTAATGTACCTATAAGAACAATGTTGAGCTATCTGTTGTATAGAAGACAAGGAATATTGTCATTTTCTAAATATACAGAGTAACCGTCGTACCTAACAAAACACATTCGTAATGTTGTTTCAAAAATAGCTACCTCTTCTCTAGCTTAATAATTTAGAGGTAAAGACATTATTTTGTGCATGTAGTGTGAAGTAGAACATCACGTTAAGTATCTCGTGCATTTCCAGAGTGAGGTGGAACATCACGTAATGAACATGTCAAGTAAAATTCCAAAAATTATTACTTCCTAAATATATATATATATATACACGCACACACACACACATATATAGAGAGAGAGCGTGTGAAGTAGAATACTAGCATTTATGAAAAAATCTACAGCATTTAACCTTTACTAATGTTTTCCAATAAGTTAGTGTTTTAATCAAACTATACTCAGGTGTATATTAAGTTTAGGGACTTACAACATAAAATCCATTCTTCGATTTTCTGCAGTTGACGGAAATTAAATACCTCGTTGTGTAACTTCGTGTTAGGAATATTTTCATGAATTTGACTGAACTCAGAAACAAATATGACTCCATAACTAATTCTAACCCATACTGTGAGAGAAAACATACTTGGAAATAATTTTAAATACAAGACATACCCCTAGACAATGAACCACAAAATAAAGACAGACAAAAATATGGCTTAAATAAAAGTTGCTATATTTTTTCCTACTAATCCTGTTCTTAATTAGTTTGACTCATATTCATAAATAGTAGTGTAGCGATTTCTCAACAGCCCCATAAAATGAAATAAATGGAGTGTTTAGAGAGACAAGCTGACTATACCTAAAACCAAATATTTTAAAACATTTCGTAATTCAAATATAAGGATATCTCAATTAAACACACTTAGAAGTCAAGGTTCATTAACAAAGTTGTTTTTCGGACAGAAGATGTGACCTTTTCTGAGGAGATTAAGTTCTTCATCTGAAAGAACTATGTTTGAAAGATTAATTGTGTTTGACCCTGATGAAGAAAAGGTCCGTCTTTGGAAAGCGCTCGGGTTATAGTGTTTTGTGTTTGTCTTTAATTGATTTTTTTGAACCTATGTATTTTCCTAACATCGTGAATCAACTTTACGTTTAATCTGATATTAAAATCAACAACACTGTTTCAGTGAACGTTAATTCAGAATAATTATACATATATATATTAATACTTACGTTTAACCCTTGGTGGGCAGAGCACAGATAGCCTATTGTGTAGCTTTGTGCTTAATTACAAACAAACAAAACTTACGTTTAAAGTGAACTGTTAGTTTTGTAAAATATATTGAGACGTAATATTTCCAGTTTAATAGGACTATTTATGTACAATATAAAATACTGCAAAATTAGATTTTCAATTGATTGTTTCACGTGTTTTATTAAGAAGAAAATTATATATCCCTGACACGATTTACCAATGTCATTCACAGGGATTTTGGTTTTTCCTTTTCTATTGGTAAAGCCCTTTTCACTGTCCGTGCTCTAGTTGAGCTATCATTGTTGATTTCCCTTTTTTTCTTTCAATAACATATAGTGGCTCAGGAACGATGGATACGGACACAAAGGGACGAAGAGCACAACGGTTTCCGAGTCTTCGGCTTGCTAACGGCCGTATTAGTTGTGGGACACCCTCAGAAGAAGAGATTCGTTCACCACGTAGCCTACACAAGGAAGAATCCATCAAAATTAGTGTTGAAAACACAGACTCGCTGGTAACTGCCACCGGAGACGATGATCCGGCACTTGTTAACGACTATATTATGTCTGAAATAAATTTTAAAGATGGGCGATCCAGTATTGGGGGAGGGGGCCCAAATAAGGACGGCGGTAATGAAAAGGACGACGTTAGTCTATATGGAACACCCAAGGAAGAACTGGCCCCAGTACTGGCGGAAGCTAAGGCATCGTTTATGCGGAATCAACTGGAAGCGCTCTTTCAGCCGTCCGATAACAAACTCGCTATGAAACTGTTTGGAAGTAAGAAAGCCCTTATGAAAGAACGGATCAGACAGAAAGCTGCCGGACACTGGATTATCCACCCTTGTTCTACATTCAGGTAAAGTGTATTAACTCGCAAACTAACCCTTACGTATAGCACATAATGCTTGATTAAAACTTAAGATCCTTTGTTTGTTTAAACAAATTCAGAAAGTCTGATGAACCACCAATGTATAATATGTAGTTTTTCATTATTTGTTTTTACTTTTTGATTTTTTCTTGGAATGAAATGCAAATTAAACCTTGTATTTATGAATTAAGTGTAATATAGTTAATCTCAGCGTTAAATGAGACGTAATAAAGTACATTTTAGCCTTATGAATGAGGTGTAAGAATATAAACCTGACCTTTATGAATTACATGCAAGACTGTGAATCTCACTATGAGGTGTAATACTTTGAATTTCAGCTTTATGAATAAAGTATAAAAATATGAATTGAGAGTTAAAGACGAAAAACAATAAGTAATGATTCGGTGACGAGGAACCCACTTTGAGACTAATAATGGCTGGAGACGGCTTGAATGGGTAATGAAGAAAAACTTTAATATAAGTCTAACATAAAAGCAAATGTACAACGTTTCGACAAGGTTATGTCATCATCAGGTACAGTAATGGTATTATCCGTATTGTAAGCTAGGACAGACATAATTTTGATATACAAGAATGAGCAACATGACGTAACAATATTTTTTGAGCTACGTTAATCATAAAGTGTAACAGTGTAAGTGTCGGTTCAGTAATTGTTTACCTTTTCACATGACGTTGTATACACAATACAAGTACAATGGTAAAAACAAAGATCAGGAGAGAACATCTGAGGTGGTTGAAATAT